CATATCATCCTATTTTGTTTTAAATGTAAATTTTGTATATTGCTCATGTTAGATATCGGTCTACGAGCTAAATACAGCTCATGTTCCTGTAATTTTTATACCGATGAAAATAAATTTTATTTGAATTTGAATTTGAATTTGAATTTGAATCGGCGGCAACAGTGAGACCGACCACTCGCTGCTATTTGCCGCTGAAACGCAGGTGCGTTAGATGGCTGCGGTGGCAATGCTGGGGACAGTCAGAGCTTTCTACTCATACGTCCTCTCTCTTTCAGTCTCTCCCCTCATCTCTCTCTCCTCTCTCTCTCTCTCTCTCCCTCTCTCACTCACTCTCTCTCTCTCTCTCTCTCTCTCTCGCTCTCTCACTCTCTCTCTCTCTTGCTCTTTCTCTCTGCCTCTTGTCTCTGTCTCTGTTCCTCTCTGTTCCTCTCTGTCTCTCTGTCCCTCTTTGTCTCTCTCTTTCTCTCTCTCTTTGTCTCTGTCTCTATCTCTCTCTCTGCCTCTCTCTCTCTCTGCCTCTCTCTCTCTCTCTCTCTCTCCGTCTGTCATCTTAAAGCAACGGGCTAGGTATGTGACATTGTAATCAATAACCAAGATAGTGACTATGATGTATTCTATGTCCATTTTGAGCTTATCTAACTTGGTCAAACGCAGCTAGACCATGTATAAACTTGTACTGTGTGTTAGAATAAAACTAAGATTATCAGTAACAGTTTGACCTTGCCATCTATTGTTTACGTCTACTCATTCACCTACGACACCGCGCATTGATGCTACATGTGTAATAGGATCCCATAATTACACTGATTAATAGTTGAGTAATACGTGAGTTTGTTACTTTGTTGTATTATGTCAATAATATTGATACAAATAATTGATGTTCATTTTATAGGAGAAAATTTCCACAGTGGTAATTGCAGAAAATGTGGTAATTGCATGTGTTGATACTCTACTAACTCAAATATACTTTTCGTCTGATTCTAATTTCGAATACGTAAATGTAGCTGCCGTACTGAGAAAATGGAACTGATAGGGACAATCAAGGAATCTGTAATGGAAGTACTCCCAACACTGACGAATAAGCATGCACTGACAATTGCAAAGCAACTGACAGAATATGTTGGTGTAGAAAGTGTTGCAGACCTGCAGTTTGTATAACCAAGTGATTGGAACATGCTGAAACCCATTTAGATTAGAAAGTTGATCCAAGCTGGGAAGTGCAAGGGAGAAGATAAGTTACCTGACAGAATTATGGGTACTGGTATTCAACACTGCATTTCATATTCAGTACTCGAAAAAAATTAATGACATTTTAGTTTAAATTAAAATGTAAATTTATCCAAGAAAGAAAGAAAAAAATCATTGACTTTGATCTTGCTAATATTTATCAGTAAAAATGTACTAAATTTGGTAGGTGATTCGATAAATGTTGTAAAGAAGCTACAACAATCAGATTTGAAGTGTGATGAACAACTTGAGAAAGTGGTGGTCCATAGTAGTATCAACACAATAACTACTAGTATGACATCTGGCATTTGCCAAGAAACATGTCAAAATATTAACATGGGCCACATGCAAATAAATGTGAAACGTTTAGAGTAGTAAAGTTGGCAGCTTTATCTGGAATGGACTAGGGTTCCCACAGTCATTCCTGCTTTGTAGAATGGCTGCAGGATACGCGTGCACTGCGTCTGGCATGCCCACACCCAAGCAGATAGCGTTGCCTTTTCTTCCACACCCAATTAATTTTCTATTACTAGGTAACATCTCTACGATTAATTGCGTCGTAGATGGCAGCTTACGAGAAGCAGTCAGATTCATAGTATCGTCTAACATATTGGAGATATACAAAAACCATGATGGCCCAAAACTAACGATTGAGTTGGGAGAAGAGCAATATTAACTCCTTGGCAGCACATCACGTCTATAGTCGTAGCCGACTGTTGCCGAGTATTGGTGACGTTGGTTTATAAATAGATTGTTCTCAAGACACAATAAATGTGATTAGTTAGTATACTGACTGGTAGATGTCACTAGCAGCTCATGCTAGGTTTTTCTGGTACAATTTGAAGTTCATTCGTGCCACTAGTTGTGAAACAGGAAGTGAAATAAAAACAACAACACGGCCACGCCCAGTTCAACCATGTCAACACTCAAACAACAATTCCGAGTGGATGAAGCTGTCGATTTATCAATGACCTAAATCTTTTCTGGAAATCTGGAGTGACGATGGGAGAAGTCCTTCATAATCATAGCGCTGGAATAAAATTGGAGGTGATGGTGAAACAGGCTAAGGCGATAGTTGTCACGTCGTGTATACATTCACATTTCGACTCGCAGTGTGTCTTTTACCAGAATACGGTGTAGTAGTGGTTGTATAGGGACTGTGTTTTTGTTTATTTTTTTGTGTGTGAATTCATTCCGACTTTTTTGTGGGTTTCTTTAATCATGGATGTGACCATCGTGGAAACCGTGACCATTTTGTTGCTACCTTACTCTCTCGATGGATTTGACAACCTGAACCATTTTAAAAGAAAATTAGCTCCTATGCCCCCCTGGAAAATGACGGCTAACTCTGCTAGAGCCCAATATTCAAAATGGCCGCCAACAATATCTTGAAAAACATGAAATGTATAATATCTCTGGCATTAGATGAGCTACAAGGACGAATGAGGTGTCCCTTTTCACTAATTACTAGTGTTGTCAATCGGTTGTAATTTCGTAATCGATCATCGGTTGGACCCAAGTAACCGATGATCGGTTACAATCGGTTACTCGGGGTGTTGAATGCCTGCGTGTGCGTAACGTCGTGTGCATGTACGTGTGTGCATGTATGTGCTTGTTTAGCCCTGTTTACTGTTTGTTTTGCACTGTTTACTACTGTGTGTATAATACATGTACTGATTCTCATCACCTTTCCATGTTTTCTTGTTCAAATTAAAACTTTTTTCTTTTTTTTTTTGATTAAATTGATTATGGATTTTAATAACCAAGCGCTTTGTTCGAGCCAGTGTTCAAACGATGACCGAGTATAATCGATGATCGTGACATCACTACTAATTACGGCATTACAAATCCACTGGAATGGTTTTTGTAAAGTTCAGGATTCATCCTGACCTCTAAATACAAGATGGCCACTGTCCTCCATCTCATAAAACATGAAATGTAATATCTCTGGCATTAGATGAGCTACAAGGACGAATGAGGTGTCCCTTTTCACTAATTATGGCATTACAAATCCTCTGGAATAGTTATTGTAGAATTTAGGATTCATCCTGACCTCTAAATCCAAGATGGCCACTGTCCTCCATCTTGAAAAACATGAAATGTAATGTCTCTGGCACAAGATAAGCATCGTTCGGGCATCTGTAGAGGTCCAGACAGTGGTGACCGTACTAAAGAATGTCAGGGACAGGATCGACACGTACCATGACAAATGGTTTGTTACTTAAATATCATACAAGTTTGGCAATCTGATTACAATTTATAATCAGTGCCAAGTGACTATATCTATATTTGTTCATTGACCAATTCATGCAGCTAAACTTGTTCAAAAGGGAATATTTGTTTCAAATTTAATTTTAGGTTTGCAGCAGCTTCCGACATATGCTCAACTGTTGGCACTGAGCCAGCCCTGCCATGCCGATGTGGTCGGCAACGACACCGGTAGAATACTCCGGCTGACACTCTAGGTAATTTTTTCAAAAGGACCGTAACTATCCCCCTTTTAGATCACATCATCAATGAGATGCAGTCTCGGTTCACAGAGCTGCACTGCACTGCCCTGAGAGGAATTGCCCTCGTTCCATCAGCCCTTGTTGCCTTGCCTGCCTCCTAGGGCAACCTGGATGACTTCATAGACACATATCGGGCTGACCTGCCGTCTCCTATGATGGTTGCCGCAGAGGTGGAGTGCTGGCAACAGAAATGGCTGCTGCACCACAGCAAAGACGATTTGCCTGAGACCGTCACAGATGCCTTGCGCCAGAGTGGGATGTATCCCAACATCGAGATGCTGCTACGCATCCTCTGTAGCCTACCCGTCTCCAGCTGCACTGCTGAGCGAGCGTTCAGTGGCCTCAAACGTCTCAAGACCTATCTTCACTCTAGCATGGGCACGGTGAGAATGACGAGACTGGCCCCGATGCTGGTTCAACGTGACATCGACATTGACGTCGAGGAGGTCATCAACATTTTCGCAAGGCGCCACCCAAGACGCATGCGGATGGTCAATGTGTTGGATGACTAGACAGTATTCACGACTCTATAAACATGATACACGAATGTTCACATGACATTGTTTTCATTATTGGATTGTTAAATAAACAATGTATGGCACCAGGCTCGGTTTTGAACTTTTACCCATTAAATTTGACTAGTTGACACCTGTTATACCCACTTAGTATCACAATACATTTATTTGTATAGATCCCAATGTAACCGAGTAAGATCCGAGTAAACAACTCTAGGTCCAAACATGTTACTAGGTTTAAACTAGTACTTTTTTCTTTCTTTTTTAGCAACCAAGGGGGGTTACAGAAACCAAATAACCCCCCCTGGATACGGCCCTGCATGTACCATTATCACGTACCAAGTGCCCAAGACAGCTCATAGAACCAACAAATAAAAAATAATTAGTGCACAAATAAATCTATCTACGTTCATTTTTGCAGATAATTTAACAATTAGAATAGAGAAATGGAAAATACGTTTCCAGGGTATATGTAAATTTCTCTGCCATGGAACTTACCCACCTGGCTATTCAAAATCGCAAAAGCTGACTTTAAGAAGAATTTCAAGAAGCTTCAAAAAAGAAGGTAGGCCTACTGTTATTCGCATGCCACGGTGCAGCTATCTCCTAGTGAACATGTAGCGCATTATTATGACAATAACTCAACCATGAGACAGTGCATCCCCTGCCTGTGAACAGGTAGCACATTATTATGACAATAACTCAAACCTGCGAGGAGCTTTCCACTTTGCTGTACTGTCTTCTGGAGGGAGGTCAGCAGAGCATCGTCACTGTCTTCATGTGTTTGCCCTTGCCCTTGCCCTTGGTCACTGTGGGCATGTCAACATCATCCAAGGTAGCACCAATGTCGACACAGGCAGCCTCTGCAGCACACAAGTCCCCCTGGTGTTCTTGTATGGTGGCCTTGACCTGCAAAGACAAAATAATAATATAATTAGGAACATGCAAACATTTTCAGATTACAAAATAAGACAATGTTGTTTTATTAGCAAATTACTTGAATATACTGAAATGTCGATCAATGATTAAGACTTTCTGTTAACATGCTGAAGTATTATGATGCACTCTTCTTATAGATGTGTTGCTCGTTATCAACATAAGTTAAAAGAATGCAAATTGATTTGTCTTTAAAATAATGAGGTCCAGAGCCTGGCTGAATGGCGTGAGTGAATGAGTGATTTTTGAGTGAATGAGTGATTTTTTAGCAATACTTACAGTTTTGCAGGGCTCTGGACGGTGTCTGATGACTGACTTCAGGAAACCGAATTGGTCCCTGATCCATAGCTCCCTCTCAGTCAGCTCAACAGCAGGAGCGCCGTCACCACTCTTCTTCTTGTGCAGCCTGGTATGGGTATCCCGGAGCGATTTAAACCACCCTTGGAGATGTTTATCTGAAAATACAAATAGGCATTAAATATGAATGAAAAATTATATATTTAAATATTAATAAAAAATTATATATTTAAATATTAATTGAAAATTATATATCAAATGTGATACTTACAGCTTCTTGGTGGTTCCATACTGGCGCCCTGGTCCTCCCACAGCTTGTTCTTGAGGTCCGTGCGTCTGTACCCATTCAACTTGCAGTCCCAGATAATTGGCTTTGCTTGCAAGAACTCCAGCATACTCTCCTCCTGTTCTACTGTAAGGGCAAAGTCAATCTTCGTAGCCCTCTTCTTTGCCTGATCATTGGGCTTTCTGGAGTTGGATGCAACAGAAACGACAGAGCCTTCACGGGACGGAGGAGTGGGTGAGCGAGGTTCTCTAGACTGTGTATGGCCGGTAGAATGAAGGTTAGGCTGGTCAGGTTGGTCAGGTTGGTCAGGCTGTTCACGCTGGTCAGGCTGGTCTGGCTGTTCTGCAGGTGGTGGTGATGGTTTTGGTTGGATCTTTGCTCTCCGTCTTCCAGTGGCAGACAATCGCTTGGGCGGCATGGTAGATGCTTTATTGATTTATGACGAGAGCGGCACCGCCGGCACGGTATTTATCCTGGTACGTCACGTGATCGTTCGTGACACGCCGAGCACGCTGCACATGCGCTACTCATACGCTACCCATACGCTGGCCATTCGTCGAGAACGCCAGGCACTCGTTGACCATACGCTCGGATACGCTCCCATAAGTTATTTATAAGTTAATGATACGCTATACATACGTTGGACACACGTTGTGTATACGTTGTGTATACGTTCAATTCGTTGTGTATACGTTATGTATACGACCAATCCACAAAAATCCAGATTTTTTAGGTGCCCGGGTCGACGTATGCCAGCGTATGATGGCTTTTCCAAAATAATTCATACGCTCGGCATACGTTAAGGCTATACGCTCTAGTGTGACAGGGCCATTACGAAAAGCAGTCTCGCCAAACACCTACACGCAGTAACGGGTCACGTCATTGACGCCCTATTCATGCCCATCAACGAAGAAGGCGGGGCTTATTCTGATTACGCATATGCCAAAATGCAACAGAAGGACGTAGCGCAGTGCGCTAAACGCCGTGCTATTTCCGTTTTTGTGCCAAACTCTATCGTAGGAAACCGTTCTAGCCTAGCAGAATGCCGTAGTTCCTGAGATCGGCGATTTGGTACTGTGATGGGTACCCACCTTATATTATATTATAGAGAGGTGCGGCGTAGGCTGTGATTGGAAAACAGTGTCAATCCTCGGCGCGCCTCAACATCATGGCCGCATCACGTCAAGGTGTGAAATACAACTCCACTACTACTACGTGCAACTCAATAAATCGAGTTAATACATACACTGATTAATACTTCCTGTACTGATACAGGAGTGAGACACGCTCAAAACACACAAAATTCAACAATTGCTTGCCTTATTTTACCTATGGCTATCATGATTTATTACGTGCAACTCAATAAACCTTACATCAAAAATAGCATTCGCAAAACCAATTGCCAGCTCACGATATTTGTTTACTAGGCAAGCCTCTACCAGACGTTGCTATAGCCTACGGAAGTACAGTCCGACCTCCTTTATCTGGCCAACCATTATCCAGAAATCTCTATTAACTGGCCACGATCAAGATCTGTATGTTCTGTTTTTTCATTCGTTTCCACCTAAAAATCTCGCTCAAAACTCGCTCAAAACTCGTGCGATGTACCAATGATTCTCGCGCGATGTGTGTGTGTGTGTGTTGTCCGTTATGCCTGCAGACAACTTTCGTCCGTTAACGAACAACTTTTACTAGCGGACGTTAGTGAAACACGCTGTCGCGCTACGCACTCGCGATCGATCGAGCCCCGTACTTCAATCAAAGGCGCCGCTGCCACGCACATGGCTGAAAAACGCGGCATGGCTGTATCAGATTTTCGTGACACCATTCAGAATTCGAGCAAATCGGCGTAGAATTGCAGTTTAAAAATGAATTTTTCAAGTACATGTAGGTTCCACTTATATTATTTGTATTCGCCAGTATTCGAATAATGACGACGCGAATAACGAATATGTATAGTCCAACAACAATATTCGGTGCACCGAATACGCGAGTGTACCGGCAGGGCTTGAAACTAACGCTCGCTCACTCGCCCGAGGCTAGTAGAATGTCTGGGTTGACCAGCCCTGCTGGCGAGTGGGAATGCCTACCAGATAACATATTACTAGTACTTTTTCAGCAACTACTAACCCGATCGAACTAGTAATAAGTAGTATAAAATTTGCGTGTGCAAACATGAAATTGCAAAACCTAAACAACATTCACGATGCTGGACGCTGCCATATTGGATACACTTGGCGCCATCAAGCGGGCACTTTCATAACGATTTTGAACTCAAATGCGTTGCTATGCAGCACGGTTGCTATACGGGCAAACAAACAAAAAATAATACGAAATAACTATAATAGTACTAAAATGTATAGATATCTAACAGGAAAAGTGCCCCCAACTAAAAAACTTAAAACCAAAGAGGACATTAGATGCCAACAGCAAAAATATGAGCAAGGGAAAAGGCAAAGGAAATTTCAGGAAGCATGGCTGGAAACATACAGTTGGCTTGAAGTTGTGAAAAGCAAGTCCAAAGATGAGACAACCAGCTCTGGTCAACCAAGTACTTCTAGTTCTGCCTCCACTTTCAACACAACTGAGAGTGAATGCAGAATGTTCTGCAAAGTTTGCCGAAAATATGAGAAGCATGGCATCTTTGTCACAGGGTCAAGAAATTATAAAGTAGAATCCCTTAAATATCATGATGAGTCTGCCAGCCACAGGTCTTTCGTTCAAAGGGAGAAGGCCCTAACAGCACGTCCAGGGACATCAGTCGCCGAAAAAAACAATAGAGAAGCTAAATGAGTCAAACTACCTCCGCCTTGGCAGGCTTTTCAAGAATGCTCATGCTGTAGCAAAACATGGCAGGCCCTACACTGACTACACATGGATCTGTAAATTAGACGAGGCAAAAGGTGTAGACGTAGGAAAGACATACCGCAATAACAAACAGGCTGTAAATTTTGTCCACTACATTGCTGAAGCCCAACGCAAAGAAATCTTTTCCAAATTTAAACAGAGTACATTCATGTCGCTAATCTCTGACGGATCCACAGACACAGCATCGTCTGAAGCAGAGATATTATACCTTCGTCACTGCCATAGAGGAATTTTAAGGACCGACTTCGTGGGAATAAAAAATGTGCCAAAAGCTGACGCTGCTGGAATCACTACTGCCATTTCCAATATCCTAACAGACAACCTTGGCGACACTTGGAAAACTAAAATTGTGGGTATGGCCACAGATGGCGCAGCGGTGATGCTTGGTAAAACCAATGGAGTGGTAGCTCGTTTGATGCGAGAGGTCCAAAGGCCTTTTATCCAAACCATACACTGCTCAGCACACAGACTGGAGCTGGCTTACAAGGATGCCACTAAATCATTAGACATCTTCAATAAAGTGGACAACATGCTACTGGCCATTTATCTTTTTTACAAGAATAGTCCACTAAACAGGGCAAATCTGAAAGCATCCTTCAACACTCTCGCACAGAAGCCTTTAATACCTTCAAGAGTAGGAGGAACGAGGTGGCTGCCACACATAAAGAGAGCTCTGGAAAATCTGCTGATTGGTTATGAACCAATTATGCAACATTTAACGCAGGTATGTAAATTAGTTTGCAAAATGCTCAGGTGCCCTAGAAATACTAAAATGCTCCCTTAATATTGACATAATTTTAAAGATTATTAATATTGTTTGATTGTATGCAACAGCTAGTGACGGTCTGAAAATCAATTTATTTAATTTGTAATCTTATTTTTGTCTTTTGGACAGATTCAGAATCCCAATGATGCAGCCCACCGAAAGGATTCTGCGAACAAGGGGAGAAATTTTTTAACACTGCTCTCCCGAAAGGATGTTCTGTACTTCATGTTCTTCCTGTGGGACGTAGTAAATTGCTTGTCTACTGTCTCAGAAGCCTTCCAGCAAAGAGATGTCACTATAGCGGATGTGTATCAAGAACTTGAGGCAGCAAAATGCATCCTTGAAAAATACAAAGCCAGGTATTTCCAAACAATTCATTAAACCCAGAACAACAAGATGTTTTCAACTATAGTTTGCAGCTTTGAGAAAGGTGCTTGGAGTTAGAGGTTTTTCTGTTGGTTTTTATTTTAGGGATGGACCAAAACTCAAGATGGTCATAGGTCTGGATGAGTACAACGACAAGGGACAAGTACTGAAAGGCCAGTCAACATCCTTTACTTCCTACAGAAAGAGGCTGATTGATGGCTTGCTGAAAAGTCTGGGTAGTCAGTTTGAGGTGGACGAGAACCTCATGAAAGCTGCAACCATAGTGAAACTGGAGTTGTGGCCTCAGCTACTATCTGAAGACCAAGGTAAAGAAATAACAAGTGCCGCAGAGCGACAGCGCTCATCTAACGTCTACTGCGGTGACTCTGTGGTGGCGTGGTGGGATTCTAGTAAACCCTGTTAGTCCCAAATGTGTTCACATACACGCCAAAACAGTGGAATGCACAGGGATGACTGCTGTTTGGAAATGTTTGAGCCCATCCTCTATCATATGTAGGTAAGTCCGACACCGGTTAGTTTTTTTTATCATTTTTTCTTGGGAAAGGGGAGAGACAATGCATACATGTACCAGTTGGTCATGCGTCTCCGGGAATGGGGGTCGAAACCCGTTCTGGTGGTAGGAGCTTCTGCCCAAATTCCACTTCCACTAACTTGGGAGAACATTTGATTATTCTCAAATTCCTGCCAGACTGTCCAAAAAGACAAGTTTACCTGGAAGTATGGTGTAAAAATAACAGAACTGTGCTATATTTAAATTAATAAGGTATGCCACACTGGAAACTATTTTGACATCATGTAAAGACTAGAAAAGATATTGAACAGTAATGACAGTATATATATAAGCTGTTATATGTACTGGGCAGTCAGGACAAATTTCAATAAAACCCCAAAAAAAACTCAACGAAAATGGCACCAAAAGAACGCCCCAAGTCCAAAGCTACAATTTCCAGACAGAAAATGAAGGAAAATGACCCAGAAAAATATCGAGAATATTTAGACAAGCAGCGCGAACGTTCAAAAAAATGGCAAACGGAAATGAATGCAGAATTTAAAAAAGGAAACCCTCTGAATCCGTATTTGCAAAGAAAGAAAGGGAAATTAAGCTGCAAAGGGCCAGACAAAGCCGACATGAACAAAAATTAAAGAAAGATGTTGGAAATGTTAAGCGTACACTTAAACAACAACGTAAACAAGCAAATGGGACCCAAACTCGCCACGCAACACTTTCTAAAAAAGAATACAACTAGAAAATGAAGCAAAAAGAGAGGGAAACAATGACACCACACACAAAAATGTGGATAAAAAAAGGACAGAACGCAAGGCGGCCAAGAAGGAAAAAGTACAGGCAACACAATCAAACCAAGCAAGAACATTTATGTTCCGAAGAGTTTGCGTTTATAACTTGTATATTTCGGAATAGCGTTAAACTTATCCGGAAGAGGGCGCGACAGGGAGCGCGGGGAGTGCTTCATAGAGTCACGGGGAGTTTCGTGAGTGCATACGTGTCAGCGGGCGTTGGCAGTGCATACGTGTCAGCGGGCGTTGGCAGTGTCTTTTTCGAGTCGTGTATCGAGTTACAACCGTCGACAGAGGTTTTCGATTAAATAGTTATACAGTCCTTTACTACACACTATGCCGTCTTCTTATCGTATCGTTCTACCGGGCAATTCACTCCAACATTTACTTTGACGTCAATACCAGAGGATCCACCAACAGCTAAGGACACATTATGTGAGAACGCTGCTCCCCTGTTTAACTCTAGGCAACACGACAAGGAGAGTTCAGAAAGCATTGTGCCAGAATCACCAAGAAAGTTTGCACAGATCCTCGGCAATATTATCAGTAGTGCTACTCCTAGAAAGAGAAAGGCACTGGGTGAGATACGTAACACATCCCCAGTTAAAGGACTGAGGATTCCAGTTGATGAGCTGAGACGCACCAAAAAAGGGACGTCTGCCCTGCAGGAAATGGCGAGTGTTTGTGAACAGGAGCCGCAGACAACTTCCAGAAAAACTAAAGTTGAATCGCAGAACTGTATCACGTGTGTGTGAACGTGTCAAAAAATGTGAAGAAATTGTCTCAAAGCCATAGAAAAAATGGTAAAATAGACAAAAACTATATTTATATGCAACTTGGAAGCACTGAAGTGTGAATGTATAATTAATAATTATATATTTAATTGGTAATAAAAACAATTTACAAATGACGTCTTTTTTTGTCTCGGACCGCTCCGGACTGCTTCGGACCGCCACGAACCTCCCCTGGATGACCTACAGACTGCCCCGGACCGCCCCGGAATGCTCCGGACCAGAAACATTTTGGCTATAAATACAGGGGGATTTAGGGAATTTTCATCATTCGAGCTGCTGACATAGTTAATGACATCTAGTATTTGACTTTGATTATTATTTTGCAGATATGCCTCCACGAAAGAAGAAACCTGTCTTGAAAGTTACTACTGTTGCCCAAAAAAAGTGATTGAACCAGAGCCTGAAACAGAAGATTGCATCCATACTCCAGAGATTTCAGAAAAGGAGGATGAGCCTCCATCAACCACCAGCGAACCCTCAGGCGAGACAGACTCCCTGCCAGCCCCCTGGTCCAAGCAGCCCAAGACAAAGGCCCTGGTGCTAGCCGATAAGCAGGTGGATCTCGCAGAATGGATCCGGAGCCATCCTTAAATATACACAAAGGGTCTGAAGTTGTACAAGGACTCGGGGGGGAAAAGCAGAAGCTGTGAGATGACAAGGTGGGGGAGATGGGCATGGAGTCGGACTTGCTGCGCATCTGGTACGAAAGCATTCGTACAAAGATTGGGAAGCTGACGGCAACTAAGTCTGGGTCAGCGGCGAAGGAGGAAACAGAGCGGGATATAACTCAGCCATGAGACAGTGCATCCCCTCCCTGTGAAAAGGTAGCACATTATTATGACAATAACTCAGCCATGAGGCATCCCTGTATTGTTAGTACTGGCACCGGTAGCATCATATCATAGGTAGCATGCTTTCTGTTTCACAGCATGCGCGCTATATTCTGCACCCAAATGGAGATGCAATTGCTCACGCTACACCGGAACACCTTTGTTTGCTAGAGTGTACTAGGACTGTCACGTCCAAACCATGCTGTGTTGCTTGTCCGTCATAATGGTCAAATTAAATCGAGACCAGCTGGCCATTCCCCTCAGAGTTTTGGTTTTAAACAGATAGCAAAGTAGTACTGGGGCACATTCATAATCATGCCAGAAGGTTCTACACTTATGTTGTTAATCGAGTGGTTCGTATAAGAAAATCCACCACATCGGAACAATGGTCATATATGTGACCCGCTCCAGCATAATACGGACTAAGTCACAAGTCATTGTTTTGAGTAATGAGCACGAACACATGTCAATGCTGAAAATGGCCTACCTGGACAAAAATGAGATTTTTACAAAAATAAGTTCCTAACCCTTTCCTGCATACTGGTTATTATAGTGATCATTAGTTTTGGCCCCCCCTGTATCCCTTAAACGTGTATATGAACCCCGTATGCATGTTGGTTATTTTAGTTACAATTAGCGGTACCAAAAATCAATACTAGATGGCAGCACTGCTCAGCGAATGACATCCAACATGGCAGCTCCAACAAGAAAAAAGTGAGTTCAATTACTTGCACCAAAATATTGCCAAAATAATTACACGCAGGGGTCTGACTCTAGATCATCCAAAAATCCCGAAAAATAATAAAATGACACTTATAAAACATAGTAAATACTGTTTATAATCAATTATCAATTATAGTCACCCTCATGCACCCGGGTTTATGTATGTATAGCCTCTAAATATAACAGATATTCAGCATATACTTAGCATATACTGTGTTTATTGCTGCTTGATATGCATGTATATATTCCAGCAACTACAGAACAGCTGACTGCTACCCAGCACTGCTATGCACTACAGTAATTAACCCTTTTACTTTTGTAGCAGCCAGCGTCTTACTGCGGAACAAGTCGCTGCGTGTCTTGTTGATGATGAAGATGACTATCCCTCAGGGAGTGAGGATGAAAGACTGGAAAGTGAAGGGGAGCAGTCTGAACAGGAAACTCTGGAACAAGAGGACCTAGATGATGACGATTCAAGCCCTGAATACAATGGTGATGCTGATGAATTTTTGCGACTTTGGTCGTTCTGTGCCACAGTTGTCTTACAACCAATGCAATCACAAACCACTTGTACGAGAACTTTAATCATCTTTTTGAAACTTTAGACCAGCAGTGGCTTCGTCCAAGGCATCTGGACGAGTACGCACAGGCAATTAGAAACAAAGGAGCTGCTCTCACAAATTGCTGGGGATTTGTAGATGGCACAGTCCGCCCTGTATGCCGGCCTTCGCAGCATCAACAGGTCATGTATAACGGCCACAAGAGACTGCATGCCCTGAAATTTAAATCGGTAACGGCTGCCAACGGCATGATAGCCCATCTTTATGGGCCAATAGAGGGTCGAAGGCACGATTGTTACCTTCTGAAGATGTCTGGGCTCCTTAATGAGCTTGAAGAGCATTCTTTTAATTCTTCTGGGGGTGTAATGTGCATCTATAAAGACCTTGCATACCCTCTCTGAACCCACTTGCAGGCACCCTTCAAAGGGAATCTCACGCCAGTTCAAAATGAGTATAACAAATCAATGTCAAGTGTGCGTACATCTGTAGAATGGCTCTTTGGGAACATTGTGAATTTTTTTTAATTCATAGACTTCAAGAAGTCTCAGAAAGTCTGGTTGTCTGCATGTGGGAAGATGTATGCTGTTTGTGGACTGTTGACCAATGCCCATACTTGTTTGTATGGTAATAACACCTCTAAATTATTTGGATTGGAGCCACCAGCACTTGAAGAGTATTTCCAGACTCGCAACTAGAAAATATATTCCTTGTTGCATGGAATATGTGTTATTTTAGACCAGTACAAATTGTAGATCTATTGAACTGAATACATGTATTATGAAGCATTGTGTGTAGTTGGCCAGACGATTTCTGATTTAATTGACACACAGGTAATTAAGTTTGATTCTTGCAATCACTCCCAGGGATGGTCAGAACTCTTTAGAGTGCTAGTTACAAAAATTTGTTAGCAGACTTTATAAAAAAGGTGGTTACTTAATATGGTTATATATTCGAGGAATATAGGTTTAGAGGTAGGTATGGAATACTGTTTTCACATATCGCGTTATTCATACTAGGACAACATCACAGCTGATGGAGATCTGTAACACACATGATTAAACTGAAGCACAGAAAATGTGGTTAAACAAACTAAACTGAACTG